AATCTTATTCCCATCTCTTTTCACCAGACCAATCTAGACAAGATGACAGCTATTCAGTGGGGACTCTTTCTTTCCCCCCATACTCTTAAATAAAACTCCCTCTTGAAACGTTGTAAGCCAGTCACTTTGTGCCTTTATTGCTCCCTCATTCTAGGTAGCCAATGTCTAAGTTGCCCAACCCTATCTACCCTGTGTACAGAGGGGATAGCATTGATACATCATGTGAAGACTCCTTCCCTCTCTTGGTACTTAGAGCTACTACCTCCATGAGTATAAGTCAAGTTCGTCAAATTGTAGCAATTTACCCTCATTTCCTTTATAAAAAAATTTTTTTTTTAAATCTTCCTTTAGTCGAGTTTTGATTATACAGCCATCGAGGCTAGGTCAAACGGGTTCTTGCTTACTTCTTTTAAAAAGCTATGTTCAAAAAGATTATTAAAATAGTTAAGAGAAAAAAAGAGACCTATTCTGAGATCAACATTTGTTTGGTCATTTATCTTAGTTGGAATGTCTTTTCCCATTAGTAAGGATCCTTAATATTTAGAGGTAGTTGTGGCACAGGCTCTTCCCATGGTAGTAACAGCTGTATATGGAATGCTGCCCAGAGACAGAACTGTACACACGAGTCTTCACAGGGCCCCAAAAGAGGTGTCTGCCACCCCAGCCCTGGTCTCACACCTGTCTTGGCAAGCTTCCATATCCTTTTATGTGGCAGAGACAGCTGTGTTTTTCATGTTGAGTTTCTTGCTTTAAATGGCCAAAGAAATGAGAACCTTTTTTAAAAAAAAAAACAAAAACACAACACAATAGCTTTCCCATTGTGTGCATATTTTCTTATTGGATTAAAATGTTTAATTTGGTTTAAAAAGTATCATTTACACACTATTCATACATTTTTAATTATCATAAACTAACCTTTTAATCAGAAAAAGAAACAATACTTTTTAGAAAGTATTTCTATTATGAAAACAACTAGGCACCACTACTCCTAGTGGAGTGAGCTCCAGTCCACAGTGGTTAAGTACTTAGCTGCTAACCATAAGGTTAATGGTTTGAATCCACCAGCTGCTCTGAGGGAAAAAGCTGTAGCAGTCTGGAAACCTTATGGGTGCAGTCTTCCCTGTACTGTGTCCTGTGAGGGTAATCTATTCATAAGGTGACTGAGTCATAATTGACTACAGCAGTGAGACTTTACTCCTAGTGGAGAATGGGGAGAACCCTCATATCCCACACACTCGTGTGCTCCTCATCAACTCCCACAGTTCAGAGGGAAGGGTTCGTGTGGCCAAGATGGTTTCAGAGGTGCACCTGATCTTTCTTGAATTCTAAACCTGTGGGACTGAGCATCCAGTCTTGAACCTGCTATGTAGTTTTTCAGTTATTTGCGGAAGTTGAGAAGTTGTGGCAGAGAGTGCATGGCCAACAAAGTTTTTACTACCTACCTTCTACAAAGTTGCCTACCCCTGCTCTAGATCACTGCTGTTAGCGGCTGTCAAATTGGCTCGTGATTTATAGTGACCCCATGGCCAATGGATCAGAACACTGGCTGATTTTTAAAAGTAGATTATCAGGTCTTTCACCCTGCCCTTCGTGTGGAAGCGTCCCTCAAACCTGTTCAGTGTCGTGTTGTTGTTATTAACTGCTGTGGAGTTGGTTCCGACTCATAATGATCCCATATACAAGGTTTCTGAGGGGCAGCTGGTGGATGTGGACCACCAACCTTACAGTTAGCAGTCCAGTGCTTATCTTATAGGGCCACACCAGGACTCCTAGCAACATGCAAGTCTATACTGACAGATGAGTGGTGAGTGTGCACAAGCTGTATTGGCCAGGAACTGAACCCAGGTCATTCACGTGGTGGGTGAGGATTCTACCACACAACCACCACTGTCCCCTAGAGATGATTAGACCGAGATTTTTTGGTATGTTATTACTATCTCTTTTTAGTTCATTCAATTCGGTTTTCTTCTTCTTTTCTTTTTTTGGTACAATGTCTACAGATGGGGGACTTTGTTCCCCTCCAGGAATTAGTGCAGTTTCTAACAGCCTAACTTTAAAACCAACTTCAATGTGTTGGTACCCCAGGGAGTACCAACAGATGGTACTGGTAGCACTCCTGCTGAGGTACTTCAGGGAACCCGAGGGCCCAGCCTCTGCACATACTCCTCCATCTAATTCAGTCTTGCTATTGCTTATGACCTGATTTCAAGTTGGCTCTGCGCATACACTGCCTATGCCCTCTGTGCTCCTGAAGGAGTAGCAGATCTTTCACATTTTCTCATCATATGCGGACAGTACTTGTAAAAAAGGTTTGAGTCATTCTGCTTTTCTTTGGAACCTTAGCCAGGAAACTGACCTGGCAGTTTGGAAACCAGTCCTTTTCACCATTATCATTTGACTGTCAAATTAGTCTTGGCTCAATCTCCATCTTAAGCAGGGATGGCCTCCTATAATCACGTCTCAGCAAATCTGAACCCGAGAGAAATGAGTCTCCTAGTCCCTCTTTGTGAAGAAGAGTTCTTTGCCTCAACATCTGAGCTCATTTCAAATGCATGGATCCATATTTACTTTCATCTAGCTAATTCCAAAGCACATTCACCAAATTTGAAATTAAATATCCCAGTTATCAGTTTTACATATATGCCTACTGGGTCCCAAAAGTCCAACTGAAGGATTTCCGCCTCACCTTCACCATCTTCCTTATTGTTGTTGTTATTGTTAAGTGTCATTTGAATAGATTCTGACTCATAGCAACCTTGTATGGAGTTTCCAAGGAGCGACTGGTGGGTTTGAACCACTGGCCTTCTGGTTAGCAATCCACTGCTTATCCTACAGAACTCTATCAGGACTCCAATAAAGAAAACTGAATTGAGTTTAATGAATAAAGAACTATTCTTTAACTAATAGTTGATAGATAATAGTTGCTCAAGACTAGCTACATGCTGTGATACAATCTTTTTGCTTGACAGCTCTTTCTCATAGTTCTTTCCCTAGGCCTTCTTTTCTCTCCAAACCTTTCCTGTGATTTCAGTGAGCACTTTCGTGTTAGTGTCTCAAAGTTTTCTATCTCCAGAGAGCTTTCTTCTCCACACTTCACTTATCCAGTTGCTTCTCCGATAGTTTCAGCTGGGGATCTCACACACACCTCCAATCCATCGTGTCCCTGATGTATCTCATTGTTAGCTCTGTCCACACCACCAATCTCCTGTAAGTTCAGGACCACTCTCTACTTCATGGCCCAAGCCAGAGACCTGAGTGTCATCCCAACCTACTCCTCCCCTCTCCTGTCTTCAGTCAATAACTTAGCCCCATTGAGATGCTCTCTTATACAAAGGGCTTCAAAATGTTCATGGAAAATGGAATGAAACGGTAACCGATTTTTCCACAAACTTTTTGAAGCCCCCCACATGTATATCTTGAATCCATCAACATTTTTCCATTCTCATTGTCTACTGGCAACATATCTCCTCATAGCAGATTTCCTAGTCCCTGGCACTACCACCTCCAACCCATATTCACTCTTTACATAGCAATGAGAGGAATATTTTTAAACGGCAAGAATGATTGTGTTTCTACCTTCTTTGAACCATATATGGCTCCCCAAAACCAAAGACCAAACTTCTTAGCACAGCTTATGAAACCCAATATTTACCTCTCTGAAGAACTTTAATATTTTCTCCTTTTTTTCATTCTAGGTTCCTGTCATACTCTATTCTATTTCTCCAGACATGTAATGTTTTTCTTCACCATCAGACATATTGTTATTATTGTTGTTAGCTGCCGTCGAGTCGTTTCTGACTCATAGCAATCCTGAGGATTTCTGAAAATCAAAGAAATCCTGAGGATTTCTGAAAATCAGGAAATTCCATTTCTGAGGAATGGCTGGTGGTGCAGTTCTCAGTCCAGTGTTGATCCTACAGCGCCACACCAGGAGTCCACTAGACATGCTATCACACATCATTTTCACTGTATACAAGGCTCCCTTCTTACCTCTAATTCCCATTGAACTCTGTCTGGTGGATGTTTTCAGGAATCAAGTACCCAAGAATATCTTGGGCCTCCCTCTCAGGTCCAGCCACACTGGCCTCTTTGCTATTCCTCCAACATGTCATGTACACTCCAGTTTCAGACCTTTGTGCTATTTATTATTCTTTCTACTTAGAATCCCCTTCCCCCAGAAAATGTCATGGCTTGCCTGTCTTCCTGTAAGTCTTTGCTCACATGTCACCTTCCCAGGGAGCTCTTCCATTGTCACCATATTTAGAACTACAACCTGACACTCTTGACCCCTTGGGGGCTTGGTTTTTTCCTACAGTGCTAGCTGACTTACTACACATTTTATTTGTTTGATTGCTTGTCTGCTTCCCTCACTTCAGTAGGATGTAAACTCCATGAAGACTAGTACTTTGGGAATATCAAATACATGGGACATAGTAAGTATGTAATAAAATTTGTTTACTGAACATTATTGTTGTTACTAAGTACCATGGAACTGGGTCTGATTCATAGTGACCCTGTAAAGTGTTTCTGATTTCTGTTTGTTTGTTTGTTTTTTTGCCACAAATACAAGGAGAAGCCTCATTATCATTTTATGTGAGAAGTGGAATACCTTAGTTTAGCTCATATAATGCTAATGTTCTGGAGAAAGTAGCTTGAGAACCTCTGGTCTCCAAAATCAAGTTACTTCACACAGGAATGTTATAAAAATAAAACACTTACCTGGAAAATAAAAGCCATTTTCATCACATCTTGCAATAACTTTCTGGCCTTTGAGAGTGTCCAGTCTTTTAGATTTGCTTTTCTTTGTTGGATTTCCTGGTGATTTCTGTTGCTAAAACATAAAATAAAATGGTAACTGTTGATGAGAAAAAGTCAGTATAGACAGTCAACATCACAAGTACAGGATACTTTGGGATTTTCTTCTGGGAATCATATAATTAGTAATTCAGAACATGCACATACTAGATATTCACTCTGGATTACTTTCTGTTCTTTGTTAATTAAATTACCCTTATGGTAAGAGATATTTTTACTCTTGTAATTTTTATATCAGACTGCAAAGTCATTTGAACTGCAAGGTCAGTGGTTCAAGCTCACCAGCTGCTCCTTGGAATCCCTACACAGGGTTGCTATGGGTTGGAATCAACTCGACGGCACTTAACAACAATAACAATTTTTTATACCCAGGTCAAGTCAGGGTAAAAAGAGATTTGGATGACTAATTAAAGAAAAGGGAAATAAAGAAAGATTGCATCTCTCTAAAACACAGACCTGAAACTCTACAAAGCTTCTAAACTGGAGAGGAAAGACTCTGCTGCATCTTTAGAACCAGGCCTAGCGTTACTGCTTCCCAAGAGTCTTAAGAAGTTGAATGGGTCTTTCAACAGAAAAGCCAGTAATCAGTTAGCAAATTTTAGAAAGCATAGTGATTTGCAGAAATACCATATTACACTTCACCTCTTCAAGGACAAGAAAAACCCTTATAATTACTGTTTTACAAAGAGGGGGGAAAACAAATCCATGGGCTGAGATGATCTAATAAATGATTATTCATGCCCCTCATATCTTTTGATTGGAGCAACATGGGAAACTACAAGGCAATACTCCTATTAAAGATATGAGAGGAAACAATTTTTGCTCTAGAATTCTAATCCCAAAAGAAGAATTAATTCTAACTCCAAATTAGCAGTTAAGGTCAATATAAAGACATTTCCAATCCTGTCTGTTTATAAGGGTGCAGAAACTCTCCTCTCCCATTTATTATGTCTTAGGAAGTTACTTTAAAAGGCATTCCATCAAAACAATTGTGTAAATCAAGAATAAGAAATACACAGAATCCAGGAAACAACAGAACTTATCCCAAGCAATCAGGGAAGGGAAGCTATATTTAGGATGACAGCTTTACAGAGGGCATAGACAGCAGGAAGTTTCCAGAAAAAAAATGAGGACTTTAGAAAGTCTGAAAACCCATAATCTATATAAAAGTAATGGCTCAAACACTAAACAAATTAAACTGTGGCATAATTTTAAATAGCTGAGGGATTATAAAGGTAACACACGATCCTTTTACATGATGCCAGTAACATTCTTTAATTGGCCAAGGTATCACATAAAACTTTAAAGAGAGACATGTACTACTAAAATGTGCCTAGTCACAAAAATGCAAACACATAATGGCGGACGCCATCCTGCGAATGGCGGACACCATCCTGCCAAGGAGCAGAACTGCGAGAAGCCTTATGCATGAAAAGTTCATTGTTTAGCAGAGCGACAATGAATGCCCCCCTTGGATAGCAAAGCTACAAGGGATGACTCATGCAGGGGACCTATGGTTTCTAGCTTTTCCTTGGATTAATAGTTTATTTCTGATTTTCTTATAAAAGTTTGAGAAAATCTTGCATAATCATTGGATACTTTAAACAAACCTCATGTTATAATAGTTGCCTTTCACATTAACATTAACTTTCACACCATATTCAATCTTATGTAATTATAAAAATTGTTTTTTGTCGGGGACCGGCCTCGACACGAGTGTTTGGTTCACGAGGAGGGGATATCTAGTGGCAACAGGGATAGCAAAAGAATACACAGAAAGACAAAAAGAGGGAGACAAAGAGGCACACCGAAACCAAGATGGTTGCATTACTGGTGTCCGGCAGCTCTGGCGTGGTGAACATATTAGCCATAGGGCAGTAAGGTCCTGTATGGTAAACATCTTAGCTGTGTCCATAAAGCATGCCTTGCTAGCTGTAGTGCACTCTTTCACTGCCTGCCTGTAATGCACACCTGGGCCGGCCTGTGTCTCCATTTTATTTAGGGGAGGAGCTTCACACCAAGCTGGGAGGGACTAAGACAAGGTACAGCTAACATCAGTAATTTTCAGACATTCAGGTAACTTTTCGTACGTCGCTGGTTCGAATCCCAGGCCAGCAACTTGGTTTCTCAGGTTCAATTAACATATCTATAGCCCCTGAGCTCAGTTGGGGGAAGGTGAGAGGGAAGGACAAAAGGCTTGGGAGGAGTCCCGCTGTTTTGGCTTCCTGAACCAGGTTTTCAGGAACTGAAAAGCTTGCACCTGGGACAGATTTAGGGAAGATGGCTTTTTTGTCTATAGAACAAAGAACCGGGAAGTAGCTAAGCTATTTTCAGTTAATCCTTTGGAGAAAGGCTTAACCTTGAAGCCTTTATAGTCTCGGCTTTAGGAAAATATTACATTTATCTGTGGATATTAAGGGCTCATATTTGGAATTAAATAAAAAACATAACTGAACACTAAGATGAAAAACAATTTGCCATGACTGCCAGTGGCCAGAATTTGTTCCTCAGAGCCTGTGGCCTGTATAGTTGACACGGTCTGCAACAGTTTTTTACATTAACAATAAGTTTTAACATTAGAAATAACCACACTAGCTGAAGTTTTAGCAATTCAAGCTTAAATTGCTAAGAAACATTCCAGTCATGGATATTAAGGCTTTTAGAAAGTAGATTAGGAGACAGTCAAGGGCAGTGAGAGCTTGGGAACAGAGACAAGAGTTTGATTAGAAGTGTTGAGAAATTGTTATCATGAGAGAATTACTGCTTTGTTTTTAACTATGAAACTTTAGGGTACTTTTATGTTCTTGTTTTTATTGTTTAATCAATTATATGTATGACCAGTTATAGTAAAAATTATGTTTTTGATTGTAAGCTGTAACTAATAAATCTATAGAAAACAATAGCTGTTGGTAAAGTTAGAAATTAAGATGTAGAACTTTGTTTAAAATTAACCAGACATTTTAGGGAGGATTAGAGAGAAACAGAGTCGCTCACAGAAGGCAGACATTATCACGGTAACTAAGGAGTAACTAAGGGGAATAGAGACACAGGAATGTTTGGTGATCTTGTGTTCCTCTTGTACCGTTGATGTAACGATATAATATTTGATTGATTTGTAACTGCTTGTACGTGACTGTTATGAGATCATTGTATGTTCAAAAAGGGGATATAAGAAGCAACAATTTTGAAATAAATGGAGAAGGCAGCAGTCAGCAGGGAGTCATCAGAAGAGAGCCATTACCACCATCTGCCTGAGACTCAAAATGACCCATTGACTCTTTCAGTTTTATTTTATTTTATTTTCATTCGCCTACTCCACATCCTCCTATTGAGACTCTCCTAATAATTGTGTTGAGGCTGGTCCCCGACAACTTAAAAAATATTTTCCAAACATTTATCGCAACCTTTGGAAAAGCTCAATGCAGACAGCACAATGGTCTAAGTGTCTAAGTGTGGCTCTTGGAAGATATGGATGAAAAGAGGGGAGAAGGCACTGGCATGGCTAATGCTGTCTTGTGAAGAGAGGAATTGAAAAGATTATTCAATTTGGTAGCTCAGAGAATAGAAATTTAAGTTATCTTGAATAAAAACATTGTAAATGTAACCAATAGAACAAAAATAAGTTAAATATCTAGTATTAGAAGAAAGAGAGGGAACTATGTGAGTAAAAGTATCCTTTTTACATAGGAAGTAAAACAATATTACCGAAACATGTTATTGTTGTTGTCAGGTGCCATCAAGTCAGAACCGACTCATAGTGACCCGATGCATAGCAGAATGAAACAATGTCCAATCCCGGGCCAACCCTACCACCGCTGCCACACTTGATGCCATCAGTGATGCCACCTGGCTGATCCATTTCGTTGGGGGTCTTCCTCTTTTTATCTGACCCTCCATCTTACCCAGCATGACATCCTTCTCCAACGACTGATCTCTCCTGACAATATGTCCAAAGTATGAGAGACGAAGCTTAGCCATCCTGGCCTCCAAGGAGCACTCTGGTTGCACTTCTTCCAAAATAGATCTATTGGTTCTTTTGGCAGCCCATGGCACTTTTA